TAATGGAGATACCTGAATTTGTATGTAGTCCAAAAGCTTCATTTTTTTGGACTTGCAACCGCCAGAAATAATGGAGATACCTGAATTTGTATGCGGTCCAAAAGCTTCATCTAGGCAGGTTGATGTATTAGCAATTTACAGTACTCTGTATTAGGCGGTGTATAAAGCGGTACTACTTCACGTATCCAGGCATCAAAATCCTTTACAGGGGGGCCTGGCACCTATACGTCTTCGTACCCCGACTAACCCCGAACTGCGAACGGGGTCCGGAAGGTCCGAGTGTAATTTGCAATACACAAATTCCGCAACTTACATCCGCCCGAGCAACGGTCTTTGGTATAGCTCGGCAACACTGAGTTCCGATATATATTAAAAGCCTGCGCATTCCTTTGTTTGATTATCTTTTCTACTATTGGCTCAATCTCAAATCATGGTAGCTTCTCTTGCATACGAAGCACTCTCGGTGCTCTACAGCCCGCTGGTCATTCCTCTCTCTGTCTTTGTCGTGAGTCATAATCGAGACCTCCAAATCACCGCGTTTCAAAGCTGAATGAAACTGTCGATCTTAGCTACTCGGTGGAATAGCCCTCCATGGTCTCTATAATATCTACTTGCACCCACTACGGGCGTACCCCGGCCCAAAACTATGGGCAGCGACACAATTGGTCTGGATCTACTACCGGTTGACAGGCCAGTTAGTCTGGAAAAGCATTGATCTGCATGAGAAATACGGCAGCGTGGTACGAATTGCGCCAGATCATCTGTCTTACACGACAGAGACAGCATGGAAAACAATCTATGGCCTGCGCGCCGTGGAAATGGAAAAGAACTGTCAGGCAGGCTTCAGCCGACCGGGCTTGAAGGTGTGTTTCCTTCTGCAGTAAACTGGACGTCAGGTGAGGGACTAACAGCATCTGCAGGGTGTGCATGCCATTCTCAGTGCAGATAAGGCGAACCATTCGCGACTGCGGCGAATATTAGCGCCCGCCCTATCGGAAAAATCTATCGCGGACCACGATGGTATGATCGTGAAGTATGTCAACTTGCTAGTCAAAAAACTAGAAGCGCGCTGTGACGAGCCCCCCGTGGACCTCAACAAGTATTTTGAATGGGTGAGAACTGCAATGGTCACTGATTCGAGTGCAATGTGGTTGACTAGTTTGATAGACTACGATGGACCTCATTGGAGACTTGCTATGCGGCCAACCAGAAGGAGCACTGCAACAAGAAAACGGTGGTCGATGGTTGGATATATTGACACAGTCTATTCAGTCACAGGTTTGGTGAGATATCTTCGTATGAGAGGGGCCTGCAACAAGTTTTTGACGATGAACAGGATTCAAGCACTGGAAACATATAACTTGGTGGGATGGCGGGAATATTTGCTACCCAAGTTCCGGGTCCAAGCCGCGCTTGAGAACTTCAAAATAATCAGTGCGAAGTTTGAGAAACGTCTAGCGACCAACACGGATCGTCGGGACATTTTAAGCTATATGCTTGGCGAGAAAGACAGGATGACTCCGATGGAAATGCGCCTCAACGCTGCTACCATCATCGGCGCTGGGACAGGCACAACTGCAACCTGGCTGTCGACCAACATGCATTCCCTTGCAACTAATTCCGACGTCTACCGGAAGTTGGCAATGGAGGTTCGTGCAGAATTTGCATCCGATTCTGAAATTACATCAGAACGGGTCGCTCGACTGCCTTACCTGGCAGCTGTCATGAAAGAATCTTTGCGCATTCACTGCCCCTCACCCTCATCGACCGGTCGCTTTGTGCCTCCTGGTGGTGAGACGATTGATGGGAAGTTTGTCCCGGCGGGTACTACTGTCGGAGTCCACCAGCATGCGGCCTACCACTCACATTCAAATTTCCATCGGCCGGATGATTTCTGCCCGGAGAGATGGTTACCTGAAGCTCAGGAAAGCAGTTCGCCATTTGCAAATGATCGGTTATCTGTGGTTAACCCATTCAGTTACGGTCCCAGAACATGCTTGGGTATTAGGTGAGTCTCCAAACGGAAGAAATTAAGAGGCTTCGCCAACATTATTGTGACTAGATTGACAACGGCGGAGACACGAATCATACTTGCTAAGTTGTTCTGGCATTTTGAAATTGAAATTATGCCAGAATCGCAGGGCTGGCAGGACACCCAGAAAGGTACGGTAGCATGGCACCGGGTCCCTTTAATGTGCAAAGTCAAACGACGCGAGGCAGCTACTTCATTAACTGGGAGGTGAGATTGGTGCATTATATTCAAGACTACAAAGGGATTTCCGGGGTATCTGCAGTTTACTGATTACAAAGTATAAACCTGGGATACATTTTAACATTGTGGGATTGAAGGCGCATATGGATTACAGAAATATGAGTCAAACATGGGGCGGCAATTATTGATAGACTCGTTGCTTGTCTGATATTATGCGGTGATTTATGGGTTCCTTGAATTGAACTACCTACGTGTTATGGGCGAGTCCATTGAGCCCAAGGTCGATATCGTTAGGACTTCCAATCCAGTTACTCATGATATAATCGATGTCCGTAGGGAGTGGATATTCCGAAGCCGGATAGAGAAACTCTGGCTTTGCGAAATCCTCGAAAAAGGGGTCAAGTGGTTCTGTAGATAGAACGCCATTCCGATCAATGAGTCCCGGAGTCTCACCACTTACAGCCTCAGGTGTCACGCCAGAAGTTCCCGTAAAACTAGGCCTCGTCGTTGAAGGCCTGGACGAAGGAGCAGTGGGTGATGCAGTAGTCATTCCGGCCACTCGCCAATGTCGCTTGGGAGCCGGGTTGTTATTATCTTGGATCTCGCGGACATATTGTGCCTTGGCCATCAACCGTTTGATGGGCCGCCAGAGGCTACCCTTGTTCTCCTTCATCTTCCACCCACTGTAAACTGTCTGCACGTATTTCCAGGCGCGATCACAGTCCTCCGACGGTGGACGCGAGCAAATCTCAGATAGGACGAAAGCTACTGCATGCCACTGAACGTGAGTCTTGGAGTGCCATGTCCACTGTGCGATGTCCGGACTAGTAAGCAGGACGTTTGATAACTCAAGTACTCTGACTGAGGAAATGAACAGCCGGTCGCGGATAGTGCTGGGCAAGCTGGCACCATCATATTTCTGAGTGAGTGGATAGTACACGACCAGCCATGTGCGAGCGATGATCAGACGCGCGACAGTTACGCAAACCTGGAAGAATGGGACGGTGGTATCGCAGTATTTAAGATAGCGCTCCTCTAATCGGTGCTGCAGGTCTTTGGCTAAGGCGGCACGGTCGGGAAGAGAGAGCCCCTCGGCGGGTTGACCAGGCCGCCGCATGCTGGGTGGGGCATAGCCCGTCTTCCATACAATGCGCATCACCTCGCAACGAATGAGACAGAAAGTCATCTCGGTAGCTTCTTCGCGTTCTGTAGGCAAGGCTGTCATATCAGCTGTGATATCGTTATCGTTCACATTGAGGGGCATCCTAGTATCGAACATAGACTCGTGCACGATCGGCTCGCAACCATGATATTCGGACGACCGAATATCTAGCAAGCAGATATGCCACCAAAGGCGTCGCCGTATCTCTATCTCCAGTGGTCGGAGGCCAAATGCGCTTCCATCCCTGTGCAAACCCATAGCTTGGGCAATGTGAAATATCAGCGCAGTCAGTGACCAGGCTGTGCGTGAGGCATCTTCATTCCGTAGAGCCGACAAAAACAGAACTACCGCTTGTAACAAAACCACACTCTGGGTATTGAGAAGATCGGCCCGTGCCATTGCTTGTTCCACGGCAAATTGATAATGCTTGACTGCGGCTGCTCGAGAACATCCCAATACATGTTCACATTGTCGTGACTCCATGCTAATGACGGTGGAGTAATAGATCGCAAACAGTAATGCTTCAGTATTGCAATCTAATGATTCCGGCGACGCAACGGCATCCCAGTAAGAACTGATCAGCGTCGGCATATGAAAAATATGTACTAGTGGTGCGACACTCTCTTTGAAGATCTCGAATAAGGCCACTGACTGGGATAGTGGTGGATGATACGCCTTCAAAGTCTGTGCTAGCGCCTGAAACCCCATTATCGCGGCGTTACAACCCAGAGATGTCATTGAATCTACCACAGATGGATCTGTGGCAGTGTCGATGTCTTCGTCTTCCGATGCTGGCTCGTACAACAAATCCCGCAGCTCTTCAATCTACAGGCAATCAGTGAATATCAAGTAACAAGTAACATGCCTAGAGCACATCGACAGGTGCATACTTCGTTGCCTAAACTTGACCACAAAATATTGCTCACATAGCAACTGCGCGTCTCGTCGATCACAAGTCGACCAAACTGTTGTTCGACCGGGCTTGACTCATCCCCCGACCCAGGGCCTCCGTTGGCCGCTGGTTCCTCTGGTGGCGCGACGAAAGGTAACTGACCGCCCTCCACTCCGGTATCTAGGCGCCTGACGAGCACCTCAAGATGCGCCAGCCGATCGAGCACATGCTTATCGAGAGCTCGACGTGGTCGCTTCGGAGCTCTGCCTGGCTCCGTAGGATAAACACATTCTGACCCAGCGCGGAGGCAGTTAGAGCATGGCTTTTGGCGATCGCATTTTATTTTGCGAGATCGACAAAAACCACAACTGCGGAGCGTGTGGGGCCTTACCGGCGAGGGGTGGTCCGATGATCTCTCGGATACGTTACTCCTGCCTTGGTTGAACGAGGAGAGGGGAAGATTGGGCGGCAAAGTATGTAGTTCCGAATCCATTGAAACGATTTGAAAGGGCGCTGGGAATCGATGATTGGAATTTGTTGAAGAAGGGAAAGACGCGATGTGAGGGGACAATGAATCTGAGTCAGCTATATTGTTTTGGTTTTTTTGCAATACGCGGAGACGGATAAGCTTATGCGGGGCCGAAGCAGCGAGGGGCCGATTGGCCAGGAAGACAAGCGATCTCCCGGTATGCCCGAATTCCGAATAAATGGGATATACTGTCAGAAAGTCCAGCATGAGTCCGGATATTGAGGCCTCTCGCCGAATTCACGATGAAGTTGTTGCAGACGCTGGAAACGTGCTCACAGCATTCGCCAGCACTCTTTCCCCGGCGCACCATCTCCTCGCATCGCCTTGGACGAGCATATTCGGGTTCACGATCCTGGCGATTGCCAAATCCACCACCATCGAATTCCCCTGCCTCTCTTGCAGCTTCGGCCTCAGCATCGAGTTCAACCGGTGGGTTTTTAGCCCGCAGTGGCATTGGAAAAAGCCTTGGAGCATATTCCCAAATCCAGGCCAAACGACCTTACACAACACAAATATGCACCACAATAGTGATTTGGTTATGTGGTGACTTGAGTGCTCAGTTTTTATTCTCCTCGAACGATGTGAAAGATGAGGAAATCAAAAGTTCTACTCAGTGTAGAGAGACCCAGAAGAACTTGCCCGGCTCGCAAGGCTATGATCCGTGGCGCACAGCACGGCACCTGACTGTAGGGATAGTAGCCAGTATTCCATCGTATGAATGGTACGTAAAGGGGAGACTGAATCAAAAGGTTTTCTGGAATATGCTAATGACAACAGGTTCATGTTTCTCCACCGCCGGTTCAACTTTGCCTCAAGCATTGCCTCGCTTGCCACCAAGGTCGTTGTTCAACAGGCCGTCTTCACGCCCGTCTTCAACACCTACTTTTTCACTATGCAATCTCTGCTGTCAGGTGCATCGATTGAAGACACTCTGGTGCGCTTACAGCTTGCACTCCCGACAAGTATCGCGAATGGTGTCAAGGTGTGGACGGGTGTTGCTATCGTCAGCTTTATGTATGTCCCGCCTCAATTCCGAAGTGTGTTTTCCGGATGTATTGCAGTGGCTTGGCAGGCATATTTGAGCTGGATGAATCAAAATGTCAGGAGTGCTCACTAGGCGAGTTCGTGGGATGGAACATTAAACATGGAGATCGAATTTTTTGGATACAATATTTCAAATATGCTACATGCATCAAAAGAATCTGATACCAAGAATATAATGGGCTGTTAGTTTGGAAAATATGGAAAACCTACATAAACATAAACACGTCCCTACAGATCCAGCCGCGATTTCAGCAGTGACGGTCGTAAAGGCCAACTCCAATAAGGCAGAATATCGGCCGGGGTAGGCTTCCCTTTCCAACCCCCGACGGACTCGAGCGGTCTTCTCGGCCTCCGAATCCGCACCGCATAGCAAATCCCGGGCCGCTTCATGCGATAATAAGAAGCGAAGGTGTACGTCTGTTGTAGGCCCATACACTCAATCATTCCAACAATTCTGATTATTGCCCAATATGAACACAACCCCAATGAATGGAGAAAATAATGGCTCTGAACACACATCTTCATCCAATGTCAGAGGCCGCAGAAAGGTTCTGATTATTGGCGCCGGCAAGTGTTCAGTCGGTATTACACACAGCAATCCTTTGTTAATATTGATAATGCAGGTTCAACGGGTCTCGCATTGGCTCAGGGGTTGAAGAAGGTAACAATGACATGAAACCGAATGAAATATTGCCCAACTCACAGTCATTGTTTAGGCTGGAATTCCGTTCCTGATTTTCGAGAAAGATGAGACCCCCGTTCGTGAGCGCAACTGGAGCATGGGTTTACACTGGGGGTTTGAACCCCTCCAGTATCTTATGCCCACCGAGATCTTGACCCAAGTCGAACAAGCCCAAGTTGATCCCCATGTCCCGACTAAGGATAGCGACCGTCTTCCTCTCATCAATGGCGAGACCGGTGCTCTCATTACCGAAATCAAGTCCTCGAAATTCTACCGCTTACGCCGTGACAAATTCAGGGCAATGTTGCTACAAGGCCTCGACGTACAGTGGGGGAAGTCTTTGTCTGAAATTGTGTATTCTCCTGCTGGCGAACGAGTTACGGCGAAATTCACCGACGGCAGTGAAGTTATAGGCAGTATGCTGATCGCAACCGACGGCCCGCATTCAATGACCCGCTCCTTGCTCGTTGGAGAAAAGGCTGCCCGGGTGACCCCTATTGATTTCGCCTCGACCATGTGCTTTACCCAGCATACGCGTGAGCACGCTCTATTCCTCCGGGTTCAACCTCATCATCCTTTATATCAAGTGGCACCTCATCCAAATGGCTACTGCGCCTGGCTTAGTCTGCATGATGGGGATGACATCGAACACCCAGAGAATTGGACATTTTTCCATTACATCTCATTCCCAGAGCCGCGTGACTATGTAAATATGCGTACTATGCGTGAGCAAGTTGCGCACCAGAAAGAGCTGGCCCGTCAATTTGTCGACCCCTGGCGCAGTGTCTTCGAATGGATGCCCGAAGATAGCAAGGTGTGGTACTCGAAGCTTCGCAACTGGGATCCATCCCTACCGGAGCACAAGTGGAACAATCGTCAGGGCCGGGTCACATTGGCAGGCGATGCGGCCCATCCAATGACTTTCCAACGTGGACAAGGACTCAACCACGCCATCAAGGATGCTTACACCGCATGCAAGGCAATCGAGTCTTTTTGGAACCAGGGCGATTTTACTATTGAGCAGCGTGCCGTCGCAATCCAGACGTATGAAGAGGAGATGATTGCTCGGACCGGCGAAGAAGTTCGCTTGAGCGAGGAAAACAGCGTGAAGGTGCATAATTGGGACGATCTTATGCAGAGTCCCACCATCATCAAGGGTATGAAAGTTGAAGATCAGAATGTTCGATAAATATGTTTTTTATCCACAGACATTACCATCAGGAACTGTCGCGAAGTGTTTTGATGAAATAGCATTTGTGACAGGCAAAGTGGGACGGTTTTTGTATGATCACCAGAATGTATTACGTTCTCTCTGAATAAGAGGAAATATCGGCGAGAAGGAACAAAACAATGACTAGTTAAGCACAGTACAATTTAAATAATTAACTAGTTAGTTAACTAGTATGCATTCCAGTACCCCTTCGTTCACTCTGGTTTCTGACAATTTGTTATCTGGCTATGAAGGCAGTTTATTCCTTGATCTTTCCGCTGTAACCAGTCATGGACCTTGACACTTTTCTCTAGCGATATCCTATAATCAAGCCCAAAGCTTATTTCAGAAGAGGTTTATCACGAGACATTGGGGAGTAGGAATTTCTGGCTACGTATTCGTAAGGAATATTCAACCTTCAATGCCGAATAAATCCAAGTTGGTCATATTCAACCCCGAATTTTGCCGAGCTCGAACTCGTTTCCAGAACTGCTCCACTGCTTGTCCGAAGAACTCCCCCCGTGATGACAGCGGTAACACTGCAATCACTGGTGAATCTGCCAATCCCATGAACCCACGGAATAGCCAGTCCCCATCAGTCAAGGAAGGTAGCTCATCCCGCACAGCTGCAGCGGGGCCATCGTGCAAAAGTTGGGCTCTGCATATAATACCTGCTTTTTGGGCAATACCACCAGCACGTGGCTTGCGGCTCTCAGTATACCGTTCCAAGGCAGCTGTGAGAAGCCCCTGCGGTAGGAATCCATCTTTTGACTTGGAAAACGTTTCCTGGAGCTCGTTGAGCAGGGTTGTCGATGACTCAATTGCTTGATTGGCACCCATTGCGGCAGTCGGAGCCATCTAGGAATTGTATTATCAGACACAGTCCATGCATACAAACGATACGATCAACTTACCTTGTGCGCAGCATCACCGACAATGACCATGCGGTTAGTGTGCCATGATGGGGCCAAACCCTCTTCCAGAGGAACCTTCATGGCCACTGACCTTTTGGCATATACATCACCAAAGCAAACTGCAGGAGTGATGCGTAAATGCGCGATTGAAGTACAAACCTCATCAATATCATCGCTAGTATACCGAGGAGTCGTGGATAAACTATAAGTATGACCCAAATCTTCAAAAACAAACCAGAAGATAGCACCGACCTGACCAGTGAAGATGAGAATCGTAGCACCGGGCCGGTAGATAGAGAAGCAGTCGCCTTCTGAAATGCCGTCGATAGGCGTCGAAATACCGTAAACACAGGCAAACTGAGTTGTGATGTCTAAACATTTTTAGCATCTGTGTGGCTCGAGTTTGACTTGCATTAAGCTTACAGTCATCTGCCTGGAATGGCTCCGGCTGGGTAACATTAATGGCATCGCGGACGCAGCTGCGCACGCCATCAGCTCCAATGACGATATCAGCTGTGATACAAGAGCCATTGCTAAGGCCTATCGTGACAACTTCCGGAGATTCTTTCACCGACAAGACACGGATGCCTGTTTTGGCGGCGTCCTTGCTTTTCAATCCTTCCGCCATAATCTCGAGAAGTTTACGACGTTCCAAAAAAAGTGGACCATATCCGATCCTGCAAATGTCAGTAAACGTACAAAAGCTCTCCGGACATCTACTCACTGAGACCTGTAGTAGCCTAAAGCCTTGATCTCTGAAATCAGCTCTCCTTCGCCATCTAGATGGCGCCAACGCTGTAGAGTTCCAGTGTGTTTCTCGATCTCGTCGATCAACCCAAGTTGATCGAGAATGCGCAAGCCATTTGGTTGCAGACCAACACTTGCACCCCTGTCAGGAGTTAAGGAATCTTGAGACTCGAAGAGAATATAGTCGATGCTTTGCTTTTCGAGTGCCAAGGCCAGTGTCAACCCAGCGATCCCACCACCAACGATCGCCACCTGGTAATGTTGAGCAATTGCAGACGGAGACATTTTCACGAACTTGAAATTTACGGAACGATAGACATGTCTCAGTCACAAATGTAGTTTATGAGGCAGTCAGATGAGGTTTTCGGGGCATTCGGGGTACATCGGAGTCAGCTACGCTCTAAGTAAAACTACACCGACGTCCCCGACAACGAGCGATATTTAGTATCATCACAGAAAGCAAAATACGGGGATCAGCTAATTCCCACCCCTCAACTCATTTCGTACTCATTCGGAAGGCACAATGGGTTCCTATCATCAGGATGCTTCCGTTGTCATTGTTGGTGCAGGGCTGGCCGGCTTGACGACCGCCATGGCCCTCGGTACCTACGGCATTCGGACAGTCCTCATCGAACGCCGACCGCATACCCTGCAGCATCCTCGTGCAGATGGATTTACGGCAAGAACTGTCGAGATTTTCCGATCCTTTGGCATCGACAGCGATATCTTGCCAGAAACCGCCCCGAGATTCAAGACTCAGCGCACACGAGTTGAGAGTCTGACCGGTCAGTGGTTCGAAGAACTGGCATGGAATCCACTGGAGAAGAAGGCCGAAGAGAAGGAGCCCCTACAGCCCGAATACTCGCCATATAGAGGGGCTTCTACACCTCAAGATCAGCTAGAGCCCATCTTGTTGCAACATGCTATCGATGTAGGCGTTGACGTTTGCATGCACCATGAGTTTGCGGGCCTTGCGCAGGATGCAGAAGGTGTGACTGTGACAATCAAGGACAGTACAAACGGTTCAGTCTATTGCATAAAGACACAATATCTTATCGCCGCCGACGGCCATCGCAGCGCTATTCGCGAGACTTTGGCAATTCCTCGGAAGGGTCATGGCCCTGTGAATTCAATTCAAAGTGTTCTCTTCAGGGCACCTGAATTGACCCCTTATCTGAGAAAAGGGACAAAGCAGTTCACCATAGATCAGCCTGAATTGAAGGCGTTCATGATCGCCTACCAAGATGAAAGGCTGGTGCTGCATCTTCCCAACGATCGCGAATGGAATGACGAACTTATGCACCAAGCAACGCTTCAGGCAATTGGCCCAGAAAAGGTCACCCTAGAGATTATCGCCACCAGCAGGTGGGATATGAGCGCTTGGATAGCCGACGAATTCGCCAGAGGAAGAGTATTCCTGATTGGTGACGCTGCCCACTCCTTGCCACCGAATCGCGGGGGCTACGGTGCCAACACCGGCATTGCAGACGGACACAACATTGCTTGGAAACTGTCTCAAGTCATTAAAGGCACTTCAGATACCCAACTCTTGGCTACCTACGAAGCTGAACGGCTGCCTGTGGCCTGGTTGCGACATGATCAGATCTTTGCACGCTCGGACTATAAAACGCTGCGACAGAAGCCAACTCTCAACAAAAATGGAAGGCCAGAGCAAGAAGCGCTACCAGACGGGGCTGTGGAATTTGGCCAGATTTATCGGTCGGACGGAGTTATAGGAGCGGATGAGTCGCTACCAGATGCGCTAACACCTGACCAGTGGAAAGGACAGCCAGGTACCCGTGCACCTCATATTTGGATCGAGCATGGTGACCGCAACATTTCAACACTGGAACTGCTAAAGGGAGACTGGGCGATACTCTCGGAGGACCCTCAGTGGAGGGGTATCGTCAAGGAGGCAGAAGAAAACCTCGGAATGAAGGCGCGCTTCATCCATATTCGCCAGTCAGTGACAGCAGAAATCAGATTCCGTGAAGCATTTGGAGTCTCCGCTCGTGGATGCTCTCTCGTCCGTCCAGATGGTTACATCGCGTGGAGATTGGCAGAGGTGGAGGGCGATCCAAAGGCAGTGTTGGAAGTAGCCTGGAAGACCGTGTCGTGCTGGAAGGCCGGATTCTGTCGGTCTACTTGAGCCATGAGAGAGATTAGCGTGTAGAAACTTTGATTTCATGCAATACCTTTGGTCTTCGTCAATTCCTGAACTGTGTACTTGATTCTCGTATAATCCCAGCGGGTAACTCTCGGATCCCGTCGAATTCCGAGCAGCCCGAATTCAAGGCATCAGAACCGGGTGTTGCCCGGCCGCATATATCTCAGTCGGATTGGAGCCTGCGTAGCGTCTGAGAGGAAAAAGCATCTCGACGATCTAAAGCCGACCTGAGTCATTCAACTCCATTGAACGCCTGTCTTTTGAAAATGGTGTCCTATTCGTCATCTACTATGGAGGACCTCAGTCAAACCCTGGAGAAAGATGTGAAAATTCTGACAGAGTACCTTCAATCTACCGGCCATCCCCTGCCATCTTTTGATCGCCAGACTCCCACCGTTGTTTTGCCGGAAAATGCCTCCTCGGATGCACACTCGGCACGGGAGCGTATCCTTGACCACTGTTTGCGCCTCTTCCAGCTTGTAGCCGGCCCCAGTGAGTATTTGGCGAATTTGCAAACAGGTGTAAGTTGGCCATACGCCTTCCCCACTTGGTTCTCAATGCTTATATTGTAATCGATTAGTACCATTACCTCTCTTGCCTGCGTTGGCTTTGCCACTTTCGAATCTTCCATCTTGTCCCGCTGCAGGGATCCATATCCTACGCTGACCTTGCTATCCTTGCCCATGTCCCAGAAGGCGCCTTGAAAAGCATCGCTCGCATGTCGATGACCAATGGGCTTTTTGTTGAAAAGCCACCACAGCACCTCGCTCATTCAGCAACTTCAGCTGTACTACAAACGAACTCCGGCTTCCATGACTGGGCTGTATTCAACAGTGAAATTTCCGCTCCCACTGCTCTGTCTATGGTTGATGTTCACGACAAGTGGCAAGATTCGCTCGATGCGACTCACACCGCATACAATGTCGCTTTCGACACAGATACACCTTTCTTCAAACATCTCAGCCAGCAGCCAGAGCGCCACCGCCAATTTGCTGGGTATATGCGCGCCGTCACTAGCAGCCAGGGAACTGGTCTTAAGCAACTGGTAGATGGCTGGGACTGGGCGGCAGTGGGCAATGGCTTGGTTGTCGATGTGAGTAAATCCTTTTGCTCAATATGCTTGATACTAAAAATTACAGGCTGGCGGCTCGACTGGTCACGCCTCCATTGCTTTGGCCCGGAAATATCCCAGGTTGAGCTTCATTGTTGAAGACTTGCCCGAGGTGGCAGCCGGAGGTCCGGCATACCTTGCGTCTCAAGATGATGGCCAAGAACTGTCACCTCGCATTTCTTACAAGGCACACAGCTTCTTCGATCCTCAGCCAGTCAATGATGCGGACGTCTATCTCTTGCGAATGATTCTACATGATTGGGCATTTGATGACTCGGTTCGCATTTTGATCCGTCTTGTAGAGGCACTAAAACCCGGTGCGCGCATCATCATTATGGATACAGTACTTCCTAACCCGGGTAGTATTCCTGCATCCAAGGAACGGTTGTTGCGTGTGCGGGATCTGACAATGATGCAAGTATTCAACAGCCAGGAGAGACATCTCGAGGAATGGCTGGAGATCTTCGCCAAGGTTGATCAGCGCTTGAAAGTGCAGAAAATTGAACAACCCTGCCGGGGGCGTTCTTTCATTAGTCGTGTTGGTTGTGGAGTAATACGTGAAGACTTGTGACTATCATAGCAATAGGCAATCACAGAAGATATCGCGTTTTCCGTTACATATCAGCCAGTCTACTCGTACGATTTTGCTATTTTAGCTGTTGCCCTTCAAGTTCCCTGCCGCCGTTTAACAGACAACATGCGTATGGCATAATGCTAACCACCACTGTGATGCTACTTCATGATGGCAGCTCAGTAAACAAGGACATCGAGGTACACATAATGAGCTAGAAATATTTTTAGTGCTAATTTCACCCCCGGCAGAACCGCGGTATCTGTTTTCATCGACTTAAGATGGGCACAAGAGGGCTCAAGGCTAATCCCGGCGGACTAACGTATCTTTGTGCCCAGGATTTGTACATTTTCAATCTCCGTAAAGACGTCCTTCGCTTTACTCGACCCTGTCGAGACACCACTATCTTTACTCAGCACCTTTCCATCAACCAAGAGGTTATGGACTACGCCGATAGTCATTCTATGAGCTTGTCAGCAGTGATTGGTGTGGTGACAAACTTTCAAAACATGCCTGCTTCGTTGGGTGTCGGCAAATTTTTCATGATCCGGCGCCACCTTAGATCGGAAGAATGGATCTGCCTTCATGCGGACAAAATCTTCTACATCGTCAAAGAGAATTTGGATAAAAGCGTCGTAGTCAGCCACATTGGCGAACTGCGGGTCAAACAGCTGGGTCATTTGGTCCCGGGTGGAGCTGAGATTGTGTGTCTGTAACCCTCAACATCAGGATCAACGTTTCAGAGAGATAGATTGCAACGGATTGTGGTATATACCATAGTCCATCTCTTGATGCCATATTGTTCCATCAGATCCCGAACTAAAGGGCCATGAATGTCGACCATATAATCATGGTATTCCTCCTCACTCAGGCCGGGCTTCTTGTATCCACAGATAGTAAGACAGAGCGACATGGCGTTAAAGGTCTAGAATTAAAGAGACTGGAGTAAAGAGACTAGAGTAAAGAGATAGCTGAATTTGTTTTTCTCATTTTTCTTTACCCCTGCGAATGGTCTACGTCTCTTATTCTCAATCCGATCCCGGACTGATGTACGGGCAACCCGGACTAGTCGGACATTTCGGGGTGGCCTCTACCATCCACCCAAGTAGTCGCGGATTGGGCCCCATTCTACCGATTCGACCCGTATGCGCCGACTGAGTCAATTTCAAAAGGCTTTTAAAATTATATAAAAATGCGAAAAGTGTCGCACTGATCAAAGTAGGCCTCGAGATATCCAAGGATCATCATGGCGCAAATATACATTTTTGGCGACCAAACGGTTCATGCGGATTCTTCTCTTCAAAATTTGCTACATGTTAGTGACAACAGCACTTTATCTACTTTCCTATTTGAAGTCTACCTCGCTATCAGGCAAGAAATCTCCCGTCTCCCAGCTAACGAACGGGAGTCTCTCCCTCAACCCGAAACCCTCGGGCTTCTTCTCGATGCCACCAGAAGGGGAAAACGGCATCCCGCCCTCGAAAGTGCCTTGGTGTGTCTCTATGAAATTGGAGAGTATATTCGGTATGATGCATTCCACAGCTTCTTGAAATATTTGACTTATCCTGCCATAGTCTCCAGCAAGATGCCGATTTTGAACACTCTCCCGCCGACCATTTTCTGGTCGGCCTCTGCACCGGATCTCTAGCTGCGGCAGCTATTAGCTGTGCTCGGTCTGTTGTTGATCTAGTTCCACTGGGTATCGAGGCAGTGGTAGTGGCTTTCTGGGTGGGGATTCATGCTTCCCGCAAAGCCCATGCCTTGAATTCCTTAGGGCCTGCGAGTCTCAATCCATGGTCTCTCGCCATAGCGGGTCTTACGGAACTGGACGCTAAGAGAGCTATTCAAGCCTTCTGCGATGAGTCGGTAAGTTCAGTCACGCAAATTATGGTATGCAATAGGCTCATTCTCGGTGTGTTTTGTAGAAGCGTCCCGCCGCAATGACACCCTACATTAGTGCTATCAGCTCCCACTCAGTCACGATCAGCGGCCCACCACATATCATTGAGGCTTTCCAACATTCTTCAGTCCTCAAGGGCAGAAAGTCTTCGTTCCTGCCAATATATGCACCCTATCATGCCTTCCATCTGTACACAGAACGAGACGTTACGACGATATTGGGTTCCAGTGCTCGAAGCATCTCACTAAGCCGACTGCCCCAAAAGCAGATAATTTCAAATGCCTCTGGGATAATTCTGAATGAGCCTACTTTTGGTGCTTTGCTTCACAGATTGATCATGGAAATATTGACCAGTCAAATGCGGCTGGACCGTCTGATTGACGGCATTGCAGGTATAAACTCCAATGGAACCAGCCGGTTGATTCCTATTCACACACAGATTGGCTCTAGTGTGCTATCGTCTCTGCGCCAAAGGGGTATCGACGTGAACTGCATCAGTATTCCCTTCCCTCAAGCAGGGTTTGCAAAAGCGGAACAGACCCTCCCCAGCCACGACTCTTCGAAGATCGCAATCATCGGTTTCAGTGGCCGTTTCCCCGAAGCCGATAACCTCGATGAATTCTGGAATGTACTTAAGCAAGGGCTTGATGTCCATAAGCCCATTCCAGCAGATCGCTTTGATCGCGATGCACATTACGATCCAACACTCCAAAAGAGAAACACCAGTCGCATTTTACACGGGTGTTGGATTCGCAACCCCGGGCTGTTTGATGCTCGTTTCTTCCACTTTTCGCCTCGCGAAGCCCGCCAGGCAGATCCAGCTCAGAGATTGGCTCTTTTGACAGCTTACGAGGCTATCGAGATGGCTGGATTTGTTGCTGATCGCACGGCATCAAGTCAGCGCCATCGCGTGGGTGTTTACTACGGCACCACGAGTGATGACTGGCGTGAGATCAACAGTGGTCAGGATATTGATACTTATTTCATCCCTGGGGGCAACCGAGCTTTTATTCCTGGTCGCATCAACTACTTTTTCAAATTTAGCGGACCAAGTGTGTCGGTGGATACAGCCTGTTCGTCAAGCTTGGCAGCCATTAATGTTGCCTGCGCCGCGTTGTTGAACCGGGAATGCGATACAGCGCTTGCTGGAGGTACGAACGTCATGACAAACCCGGATAACTTTGCCGGCTTGGACCGAGGACACTTCCTGTCGCCCACTGGAAATTGCAAGACATTTGACGACGGCGCCGATGGATATTGTCGCGCAGACGGCGTTGGCTCTGTTGTTTTAAAGCGACTTGCAGACGCGATCGCCGACAAGGATCCCATCTTTGGGGTGATTCGAGGCACACACACATCGCATTCAGCGGAAGCGGTTTCTATTACCCGGCCGCTAGCTGACGCACAAGAGTACCTCTTCCGACAGCTCCTTAGTGAGACCGGCATCCACCCTCATGAGATCAGCTATGTCGAGATGCACGGTACCGGCACGCAAGCTGGAGATGCTGTGGAAATGAAGTCTGTCCTCGAAACTTTTGCTTGGGATAAAAGCCGCCCACAAAACATGCCGTTGCACCTGGGGTCGGTCAAGTCCAATGTTGGCCATGGTGGATCGGCTTCGGGAGTAACAGCATTAATTAAAGTCTTGCTTATGCTCCAAAAGGGTCGCATTCCTCCACACTGCGGTATCAAGACGAAGATAAATCACGGTTTTCCGACTGATTTTGATGAACGAAATGTCCATATCGCCCTGACCAATACTGACTGGAAACGTCCAAAAGATGGCAAGCGTCGCACATTTATCAACAATTTCTCTGCTGCCGGAGGTAACACCGCTGTGTTGCTTGAGGATGCCGCTACATTTGAGAAGACTGAACAGCCAGATCCACGCAAATATCACGTTGTTGCCGTCTCAGCTCGGTCAGTCAAGTCGCTCAAACAGAACTTGCAATCTCTCGCAATGTTCATCGGCTCCGAAGTCTCTCCAGATCTCTTGGCATCTATCTCATATACAACGACTGCCCGACGGATGCATCACTCCAGACGAGTGGCCATCGCTGGTAGTGATCTATCCCAGATCAAGCGCCGTCTGCTTGACTTAGCTTTGCAAGATATCAGGCCATGTCCCGCAAAGGTACCCCATGTTGGTTTCCTTCTTACAGGGCAAGGGGCACAGCAAACAGCAATGGCGCGGCAGTTGTATGAGCACGTGGCCTCTTTTCGCGCAGACATTAACAACTTTGATGCCATAAGCCAGCCTTATGGCTTCCCATCTTTCCTCCCCTTGGTGACAGGCTCGGTAGACATAGACGACCTATCGCCAACAATCATCCAGATTGGTACTGTTGCCATCCAAATCGCATTGGGACGGCTCTGGCAAAACTGGGGGCTGGTGCCAAAGTATGTTCTGGGTCACAGTCTCGGAGAATTTGCAGCCCTCAATCTGGCCGGTGTTCTAAGCATAAGCGACACAATTTTCCTCGCGGGCTCGCGTGCATTGCTATTGGAAAAATACTGCATTCCAGGCTCTCATGGAATGCTGACCGTCCGGGCATCAGTTCTAGAACTGCAGGAAGTCCTCAATGAGATGCCAGTGGAATTAGCGTGCATCAACGGACCACAGGACACAGTTCTTAGTGGATCAAAATCGGATATAGACAAAGTTAGCGAAAAGCTTTCGAGAATGAACCTCCAATGCACCAAGCTCATTCTTCCATTTGCTTTCCACTCTTCGCAAGTCAACCCAATGCTTGACGAGCTGGAAGATATCGCTGGTCAATTGACGTTCCACCCGCCCTCTATTTCGTTTGTGTCAACCGTGGTTGGAAATGTCGTGACAGAGACAGGCATCCTTGGTCCGCAATATATTCGGCGGCATTGTCGCGAGACTGTCAAGTATTATGAGGCCGTGGAGGCCGCGAAAGCTGCTGGTATTATCGACGCCAAAGGATTGGCAATCGAAATTGGCACTCATCCCATCCTCACTCGTATGATGAAGAATATTGTGGGTTCAGACTTCCAAATATGCCCATCCTTGCGGCGGAAGGAAGATACCTTCAAGACCCTTTCGGAGTCATTGAGCGTTTTGCACGAGGCTGGTGTGCCAGTCAACTGGGAGGAGTATCATCGGGACTTCACTATGAGCCACAAGGTTCTAACACTCCCATGCTACAGCTGGGACCTTGACAACTACTGGATTCAATACGAGAATAACTTCTGCTTAACTAAAGGAAGCCTTCAGAAGACAATCTCTGCTAGCCCCCTAGCTGGAGTGTCTACTCGAATCAGCCCATCGGTACAAAAGATTGTTGATGAGCAAATAAATGACACAAATGGGCGCATTATCATCGAATCCGACTTCTATGATCCAGAACTTCTGTCGGTTGCTCTGGATCACAAAGTGAACGGGTTAATACTATGTCCTTCCGTGAGTACGAACTTGCACAAAATAAAGCTGCTTCATCCTAACAATCCTTTCTATCTTAGTCACTCTACGCAGACATTGCCTACACTTTGGGTAACTATCTAGCTAAGAAAAAGGGATATGACAAGAGCTTTACCCCGGATGTTGCCAATATGGTTGTTGAAAAGGCCCTTGTCGTCCAAGGAACTGGCCCACAATCATTCCAAGCATCTCTAGACTTCAATTGGAGCACCAATTGCGGTAAAATGGAGATATACAGTATTGACATTTCTGGCAAGCGCACTATCAGCCATGCTCAGTGCACAGTCGAACTACAGCAAGCCGATTTGTGGCAAGACAATTGGCGACGACAGCGTTACCTAATTCAGCGCAGTATTGACGCCCTCCAAAAGGGTGTCGACACAGGGTTGACACACAAAGTGCGTCGGGGCCTCGCTTATCGGCTTTTTTCCTCCGTTGTGCAGTATGGCCCCTCCTACCATGGCATGGAGGAAATCATTTTCGACAGTGCAGGACTTGAGGCGACGGCCACAGTTTGCCTGAAACCAAGTAAGGGTCAGTACATGCTAAATCCATTCTGGTGCGACAG